TAAATTAATTTTTGACATTGGGTGCCACTCAATTCATACAAATTATGGAGTGGTGCCTTGAATCCAGTGAAGGTTGCCCTGAGTCCAGAAATGTTAAGAACCACTGACTTAGCCAGTGGGAACTAGTTTGCTTCTCTCTGGGGGTTTTTTTTGGTTGTTTTTTTGCATTCCAGTTGTAGATGTGGCACTGTTTACTCTATGAGCATTGCAGGCGGATTTTTAAAATATAAAGCTTTTCTTCTTTCTAAATTCTAAACTGACATTGCCCCTCAACTTGTGTTGTACAACATACCCATTTAGTGTACTGTTTGAATACCAATGGAGACCAGCAATGGGACCTCCCCTTTACATTCTTAGGGGAAGCTTTTCCAAAATAGTAAAGTGCTCCATAGATCTTCTTCCACATTGTATGTCAGTTTTAACTTCTGAGCTGTTGGCTATTTCAACCCCAGGAATCTCTTTGAGATGTTATCGATAGTGATCCTTGTACACAATGGGCACATCTACATGCGCAACTAATGTGAAGCAACAAATTCTGGCACACATCGCACCAGAGTTTATTACTCCCAGGCCCTGGGACTGCAGCACATTGAGCTGGGTCAGAGCAGCCCCAGCTGGCAGGGGACCCTGGGAGTCAGCCAACCAGCCTAGGGCTGCTCTGACCTGGCTCACTGTGCTGTGGAGGGGCTGGCGGGGACATAAGGGTGCTCCAGTGTGGGGCTAGCTGGCAGGCAGTCCCTACACTGAAGCACCCGTATGCCCCACCCAGCCCCATCAGTATCTACATGTGTGTTGCAGCACAGTAAATAATGCTGCCAGAGGAAAGTCCTTGTATTTACAAGTACTAACCAATGGGAGAGTTAATTAGTTTACGGTGGCCTAATAGGGCTGCCAATGTAGGTGCAGAGACTTTACTGCAGAGCTAATTAGCTCCACAGTAAACCTCTTGTGTAGATGTGCCCACTAAGTACTTATTTATTCCTGGTTGTGCTCCAAGATAAGATTTTGAATGCTGGTCAGAATGCACTTTTCAATTGTACTCAACTGCAAGGGACATTACTTACTGGAACCATATGTTCACTCATCCCACACAGACTTTGTGTTATCTCTGCTTTTTTCTACTGTAAATTTTTGACAGAAAAGATAACTGAGATTAAAGAGAATCTGGAAGCTACTTGCCAAATCAAATGCTAAACTGAAGTTGAGGCAGCTATTGACAGTACTGAAAGTTGCTGTTTGCTCTGCTCTGGTGGCCAGACTGTTAACCTACTGTTACATCTTGGCTCAGAATGTATTTTGGGGTTTTGAAGGGTAGCTTTTGAAATGATATAATTATGACTCCCTTAGCTCTGTGGTGTGGTGGTCTGATTTCAAATTATAGGCAAGCTTAAAGTTCTTGTGATTATTTTACTTGCTGGCATTAAGCAGGAAGGCCAGTTGTCCTGAGCTAAGAGTTTTTGGAGCCAGTGTCTTACAGATCATGTTGACAGTGGGTTGCCATGTCTTTTATTCCTTAATTGTAGCACTACTGAAAGTGGACTAGGCAAAAATTTGTTGGGTTTCTCAACTGGGGAGTCCAATAGCCTTCCCTTCTCATCTGAGACCCATTATACATGGGACAGCCAAGGTGTGAATTATTGTTAGAGCTGCAACATGCACTCCTTCCTGTAGAATTGCTTTCCAAACATAAACTTTTATTTTATTTATTTATTTTTAAATTCAGCAGCCTATGGTTTCAAAGAAAGCCTTTGAAATGTAAGTGGCATAAGCCAATTAAGGGTTCTCATCTTAAATCTCCAAACAGCCTAGAACACTGGCTGACAAGTTTTTTGGGTAGATGTGAGATATATTTTATTAAACTAACTAAATAGTTGGAAAAATTACTGTTTGCAAGCTTGTGGGAACAGGGAGAGTCCGCTGGTGTGTTTTGGTGTAGAATAGAAGCCAATATGCCAAATTCAGGTCTGTGAAAATGCAAATACATGGCAGTGAGGATCAGAGGGAATGGGAGACAATAGGTATGAGACAGGTGGGTGGGGAAGGGGGAATGTTGAACTGGTGACAGAATGTAGCTGGTAAAATGCAGATGGGTTACCTGGGATTATTAGATGGGAGGCAGGTTATAATGTGCCATAAATCGAATGTCTATATTTAGTCCAGACCAGGTTCTTTGGGTAAACCCAATATCTTTTATTAGACCAGCTATTTATATTTAGCCCATGTTTTTTTTTTTGTACCCAGTAGATTTATTAAATGAAGTTCATAGGCTCATCTGCAAAAGGTGTTTTGTAAATTCCCTTTGAGGATTAGAAAGTGCACTGGATGAGATCCCTCTGATCCTCACTGCCACACGCTTGCATTTTCACAGACCTGCATTTTGCATATTGGCTTCTATTTTACCCAAGAGAACAAATAAAACACCAGCAGATTTCCCCTATGCCTGAAGAAGGGTGTTTGTGCCAGAAAGCTTGCAAAGAACAATTTTTCCAACTGTTTAGTTGGTCTAATAAAAGATATTGCATCTATCCAAAGAACCTTGTCTGCCTGTGTCTTTAGACCAACATGGCAATAACCAACAACCCTAAAGCATGGAACACTAGCTGAAATATGTGCCAGCTCCATAAGTTCACTATCCTTTAATTTGAATTGTGATAAGAATTCACATTATTTCATGGCTGATACCTTTAGCAGAAACCTTCAGTTAACTCTCAATCTTGTGTTCCCAGTTTTTGTGCGGTGTCCTGAGTGCCAAAATTCTCAGCCATTTCCTACCCAGCTTTTGAAACCTCCATCTTTTCCCCTGATAACTTTTACAATGTAGTCCTTTGTTAACCCATACACCACTTCTGCTCTGCTAAAAATTGGAAACTTGGTGCTAGTTTCATTTAAACTGAAACAGGAAGACACTATGGATGAAATTTCATCAAATTCCTCCCTTTTTTTGCTTTTTGGATTTGCCTGGTGTGAAGTATCATGTTTTATTATTGCTAGTGTTGATGCATCTCCCATCACTCAAGCATCTGCGTATCTTGTTTACCATTGAATTGTTAACCTAATGTTTCTCTCTTCTTTTCTTTTTCCCCTCCCGTCAGACCTACACAGGACCCTTTGTTTATTATGTAAAGTCAACATTAATTGAAGAGGATGTAAGACAGATTCTGAACTACATGGGGTATGTCCAAGAACTGGGAACAGCATATAAGCTCAGAGAGCAGGTTGATACCATCCAGGTGAAAATGGTTTCATTTGAACTCTTCTTAGCCAAAATAGAATGTGAACAGCTGCTCAAAATTCACTTACAAGTGAAGGATAAAGGTTATTTGGAGCTTGACATCGTAAATGAACGAAAAAATAGCAATGAAGATGTTAGAAGCTGCTCTGAAACAATGAGACGGCGTGCAGAATGCAAAGAAAACTTGAATACTTCCATGGCACGAATGGTACTTCAGAAATCAGCTAGTGAAAGGGCCTCCTCTAAAGATTATTTTAAGCCAAAAGTGACCAAGCCTTCTAAATCAGTGGACACGTACGACAGTTACTGGGAAAGTAAGAAGCCCCCTCTGATGAGTTCGCATAGTCTCAGAAAAGACCCAATTTTGGTGGATGCTGAAGATGACATTAAAGATGAAATAATTCGGCCATCTCCCTCTCTTCTTGCAATGTCAAGCTCACTGCATGGGTGTTCAGATGACTTCTTGACAACTTCATCTCATCCTAATGGCATGTTAAGAACAAACGTTGGATACAGCTCCTATTTTTCTCCTCAAGATGACTTAGATTTATATACTGATCCTGATGCCAGAAGTATGTTAAATTTTAAAAGACAGGAAACACCTAAACCTGATGTATGGGTAATAAGAAATGATGTCAACCCCATTTACCACAAACGTACCCATCTAGCCAAAGAGACAGCTTCCCTCAAGTGCCAAAATTGTGGCTTATCTTGTGGCAGTTCTGTGTGTCAAAAATGTGACAATCTGTTTAACACTAGGCAGGAATATCCAGTGGTGAAACAAAGCAGCTACTCGATCAAAACAGTGCCAAGTGATGGCTTGTCTCCTGCATCTGCTTTGAGAGAGAAAACTCAGTACACACCACAGACTCAGAGTCAAGAGAGAGCTGCTCAACTAAGTTCAAAATCCAAATCTTCAGGCACCTTGCGCTGTGGTTTTTGTAACCGATTGGGAGCTGCAAACACATGCACATTCTGTTCAAAAGTCTCATGTGACGCTTGCCTCAATGCTTATTTTTATGATCCATGCTGTAGAAAAAGTGAGCTCCATAAATTCATGCCTAATAATCAGTTAAACTATAAATCGGCCCAGATGCCCCATCTTGTTTATAGATAGACTTGAACAACCCGTGTCTGGGGGGGGAGGGGCAAAAGGGCTAACAATTAATTTTTCTGACTCTACAGTAAGAAACATTATAGTGACCTCTCTCTGTAAAACATGTGCCCCAGTATCTGGAAATACATTTCAGTGATTATCGGTGCCAGGTTTTGTTTTTGTGGCTTCAATGCTACAAAACCATTAGAGTTCATGCTGCTATCATTTATGTGACTCTTAACTAATTACTGCTTTACATCTTACATGGGGGAGAAGAGCACATTTTTCCTTTTAAATCTTGGCAGCTGTTGCACTTTAACGAAGTGACATTACACCTTTGTATTACATTTGTAGTTGTCATTTTGCCCACATACAGTTGCATAAGGATAGACAAGGACTAAGGAATTAAGATCTGCATTTTCAGTGGATTATGAATCTACTGCCTGTTTTGAGTACAAATTCAAAATGGTCCAGAAATATTTGCTAATGACTTTGTATGCCAAAAAGGACTCTCTTCTTTGGCTGCATTTCCTGAGCTCGAAAATGTAAACACCAGGACATCTCTTTTTGTCTTATTTCTTTCTTCTCCCCTTCTTCCCCAAGATGTTTATCTCAAGCTTATACAATCTGGATTTGAACATTATGTGCTTTATTTTCTAGTGTTGCCAATACCATCCTACTGGTTTTTACTGTGTGGTATTTTAAAAAGGTGAATCTGTATATGTGTCACTTAAATTATGCCTGGAGTGTTGTCTTTCTGGATGAAAACTGAGTTTATTCACTTTGTCACACACGTATTAAATCCCGTTCTTTGCACTGTACATAGGTATTTGAAAACAGTTTATTTTTTAATAAATATATTCAATAATGTTGAGTTCTTAAGTGGTAAAATCATTATATAACTATGAAGTCTCTCTGGGTTATTTGTTCAGGTGACTTTTTTTTACTTGTACTGTACTTCACAGCTTATTATAGTCACTGTGGCAGACTGCTGTTATTTACTCAGAAAGAGTTCATTGTTTTGTTTGCCTTTTTTTTAGACCCATAGTTCTCACTTGGGCAAGACTCCCACTAAGCTAACTGCAGTCTTGTCTAAGGGCTGTAGGATTTTGGCTCGAAGTACGTATTCTCTTCCATTTATGTTTATGGGAGTTGAGTAGGTTAGAAAATACACCTACCTCCAATGCAAAGTCTAGCCTGGCTCAGGAGGTGAGGGTGGTGACCCATTAAAAAAACAAAACAGATGTAGCTTGGGTGATTTCCATGACAGTAAATCTGCACATGAATTGCATAGTTGAACTTATTTGAAATACCAAAACAACTCTAGTCTTGGATTGCACTTTCTTGTGTTAAGTATGGTACAATATGACCCAAAGCCCATTTAAACTATACCTTTTCATGAATTGAATTTAGCCTTATGTTCAAAGGAAAGCTGCCAGATCCACTTAACTTATTCTTTTCCATAAAGACAAACTGATCAAGGCAAAACATTGGGCGACTCAGTTTGAGCTTTGCAGTTAAAAGTTGGAAATCCTCTAATAACAGTAAATTTAAATAATCCACTGTGCACTGAAATCATACACTTTATTTTTTTTGGACATTGTAAGAATCTGTGCTTTTAAATTTAAATGTCCATTAACCCCTTTATATGATGGAAACATGCATGAATGATTGGTTGCAATTTTTAAAATGTTATTGCTGTTTAATTCATTTTTACTGGCTGAGAGTGGGGGGTGGGGAGAGGGGCAAAGAATGTAAGAGCTAAAATACTTTAGCCATAACTGAGTGTCAAAAGCATGATGGAAATGAGGCAAACCCTGGGTTTCATGAAAAGCTGAGAATAACAAGCTACTGTATAGCTTGTATTTAATTTAAAGAGAATGAATGGCACATGATTAACTATCAGGAGACTTGCAGAAATTGAATGACTGCAACTAAACAATGCTACAGGAAAGTACTATCTTGCTGATTCTGAAGGTTAGGGTAAATACTGCTTAGGAGAATGATTTCAAGATTTTTCAAAATCTTGTATGGCTTTTTTAATAAATATATAAATATATATATGTGTATATATACTAGAACACATGTAGATATAGTATGTATATAATGCAAAACTTAAAATGATTTTACTATTAAAATACCTTCTGTAAGGGTGGCGCCCATTTCAGTAGTTTTGTTTCTAGACATCTTTCTGACCTGTCATGCCTGTTTGGCTGCTATCCAGTGTATCTCCTAACCCACTAGTTCTGTTTCCATATTGCTATTCGCACTACAGTAAATAACTAAAACTGTGATGCCACGTAACTTGTACAGTGAACATAGCAGGGACTATATTTGCTTTGAAAAAGAAGTCCTGTGTGTATATGTCATTGAACACTGTAGTACAAAATTGTGTTGAATTCAAATGATACCATGCTCTATTTTTTGTGTATCTTACTGTATGAGGTTGCTGTGATTGAGACAGTAAAATATATGCTAATTTAAAATGCAGGTGTTTTGCATCTGATTTCTGCTTTTAAAAAGTCTTTGCTTCAGAGGAATTTAAAAATAGAGGCCTTTATGAAGACTCAGCCGTTTCTTAAAATCCAGCATATTTAAAATATCTTTCCCATCCAAAGTATCTTGTGGGCAAACTATGTGAGTGCATGTCAACGTTGAATTGCAACTTCATGAAATGCAGTGCCTTTCTCGTGAAATGTAGATTTCTCTTTTTTGTGTGCGTGTGCAAGTCCTAGGAGCATGACTTGATCCACGATGTGAGGTGGTTGTGTTTAAGTTGTGGCAAAAGGTATGCAGTTATCAAGGTGATGTGGGACTCGCAGAGGAGATTTTGGTATGTACGGTGCCGGACTAACTGAAAGAACTTACCACCTTCACTCTGATATTTCCCTGCAAAGGATTTAAAACACGCTTCTTTTAAATCAGCTTCATAGTATAAGCATATGTTGTATCTCATTTGTAGAAGGCATGTGGTACTATTAGTGTGCTGCTTGGCAGGCACATTGAGGCTACTGGCTGTATCCTACTAGCTTCAGAGCAACGATATTTGCCAAATTCCAGGTGACTGACATTAGGCTTGCACACACTTTAAAACTGTTATAGGAATATTTAAACTATTAGAGGCTCAAACCTACAAACCCTCTGTTCTCCAGATCCGCTGGAGGTGGCTTGCTGTACCAGATATGGGCCTGGGAAAGGCAGGCCAAAGAAGCAGAACTGTGATGCATTCCTGCTGAAGGAGAGGGGAGGGGGAGGAGCATAAAGGGACAGGTTCATCCTATCTGCCTTTGCATTTTTAGTACCAATTTATTTCCAGTACAAATCTCTCACTAATTTATTATCTACATTTCTGGTTGTGTTTCTCATTGTCACTGCTTCCTCTAGTACCTGAATAAGTTTAAAGGGACGTGGCAGTTTGAATCAAATGCACTCTGAACTTCTAAGTTCTGTGGGAGATGGTCGTTGGATTTTAAGCACTTGCACTATGCATCAGTACCCCTTGAGAAGAAGAGACTGAGCTTTCCAGGAACTTTTTTTTTCTTAAAAGGTACTGATCTTATCTCTGGTGCTCCTACTGTTGACAGTACATTGAGCCTGTGTGGGTAAGGCAGATGAGTGGGAGTGAAACGAAATCAAGGCAAGGTGCTAAATGTGATTCATTCTTGATATCAGAGAGAGAGTTGGAGTAGGCCTTTAGCTACTGCAGTAATGGACATGTTAAGCTGCAAGAGAGTGGGGCTAAGAATGCTCCAAGCCATTTTTGACAGACAGTCCTTACTTGTCTCTGAAAGGTGGGATTTTGTTACCTTTCTTGCAAAGGTCACCTCAAGCTTAAGATGAGGGTGAGGCTTAATTTTCAGAGAGATTTAACTTGAACACACTGCTCATCTCTTCCTTGTTGCATACCATCCATCGCCACTTGGGCTGTAGCTAACCTGAAAACATTCCTTTCCTGCCAGTCTCTTCTATATGAAAATATAGGAGGCAGAGGCAATTAACTTCTTATGCATCTGTGCTTCAGCATCACAGCAGCGCATGTCCTGTTCTGAGGCGGCAGAGTAGTCTGATGCAGTACACGGGGGCAAGAGGTCAAAAGGGTAAGATGGAAAACCTGTATGAGGCTTTGCAGATTGGTGAGGAGGAGACTGGTAAAAATAAGGGGCAGCTGCTTCATTGGTTAGGCTTAAAACCAGTTTCCAAGCACACTCGTAAGGAAAGCAATAGCAACATGTCTCCATGTTTTGTGCATGCACTGTGCCCAGCTCTAGGATCCTAATCCAGGTTGTTGGCGTTTGGATCCTACTGAACTTCTTACACTCTTCTGTGAAGCATCTAAGGCACGGGCAGGCAATTATTTTGGGCGGAGGGCCGCTTACTGAGTTTTGGCAAGCCATCAAGGGCTGCATGACAGGCAGTCTAGGGCAGATTAATATTCATTTTCTAAATTTTTTTAGGGGCCCAGCAGCCTGGATAGAACGGCCTGGCAGGCCGCATTTTGCCCACCCCTGATCTAAGGGCAACATATGTAGGTGCTATGGAGCAAGCAGGTAGCCTATGTACTAAAGTCAGGGAAGCAACAAAAACAAAAAGGCCATCCATGAGCAGCCACAGGAAGAAATCAAGTCTTGATGTGGAACTGTGTGCATGACACTCATTCCCATCTTCCCAGCCTGCATTGTAGTGATTTATATAAATTATTTTAGTTTCAGGAGGTTATATAACCTAACAGAGGCATCTACTTGTGCACTTTTCCTTTCTTGAAGTCTGTCTTATGCAAGGCGGGGAGGCTGATGTAAAAATGAAACCATCTACTTCAGTGCTGCTCTAATTTTTACCATAACAAAGGGCTTTGTTTTTGCATTTCACATGTTCAGAATCTGGAGGATGCTGAAGCCCACATCAGAGTTGGTTCAAGGTATGTAAGAGTATTACCGTATCTAGTCCAATGCTTTTTAGTTACTTACAGGAGCCTTTCCTGGCTGCAGAGAGTCCTAGTTTCATACTGGTGGTACTCCTGCAATCTCTACCTATAAAAATGAATGTTTTCTGTAGCTGGACTATCAATCAAAGCAAGTCTTGCTTTAAGATGGGGAGATGAGCTGTCTTCTGAGTTAAGCTACTGTTCAGTTAAAAAAAAATAAATAAATAAAAAAAAAAAAATTTCCTTGCATCTGGTTCTTGGTTGGTTTCATGCTTGAAGGCAGTATAAAAATCCCCTTAGTTTCAGTGCTGAAGATCAAGCCTGTAGTAGGTGGTGTAACAGCTTGAGTGTTGCAGCTGCTGCTGCTCTTGTGAATGGTGGGAGCTGATATGTTCAGTGCTTTAGAAATCAAAGTGTGACAGTTGTTCTAACCAGAGGAGACTCTTTCCTTTAAAAAATCCTCTCCCTTCCTTTCCCTCAGCTCAGGATGAAACATCACCCTCCCCTCTGCTATCTTGTTCACATTCCTCTGTATGCAGCAAGCAGCAATTCAACTACTCTACCCAAGATTCCCATATCACACCACCACTTTGTTGAGTAATTCCCGAGGTGCTACCTTTCCGAGCAGGGACAAGATTGCACATTTTACCATTGTTCCACATGACACAAATGCTACCTTCTGGTTTACTTTCAAATTAAGCAAAACTATGCGCTTCAGTAGTGACCTAAGTGTGAATTATTACCAATGGTATATGTAAACCAAAGCCCTCTAATTAACTGTTAATCAAAACAGTTGCTACCAAGCAGCATGTCTAAAAGTGACAGTTTGTTTGTATGACTCACTGTAATTACAGTAACATGTAGTCAGGGTGATTCTTCAGTGTAAATGTGTGACAGGAGAGAATCGACCTCCATTAAAACTCTCTGCTCCCTACTCATGCAGTCTGACACTAATGTATCTTCCAGCCCCTCCCAAGAGTGGTGCTATCGGTTCACCTCTGGAAGAGAGCACACTCCATGTAGGATGCTGTTACGAAAAAGCATTCAAACAAATAGAATGAAGATTGGTATAAGTTTTCAGAGCATGTAATAGGAAAAGTACATGCCAAAGGCAGGGTAGATTATATACAGCAAGCACAAGTTTTTGTGGGTTGAAGCTCACTTTATCAGAGGCACAATTGTACATGCCACCATTTAGGTTTAGTCCACTTTCAAAGATAACAGCATGTTCTCTGGCTGCCCCAGGAGGAAGCAGCAGCCTTAGCCAGAAATCCTTCAATAGTTGACTGCTAAAATGTATGGAAAATCTCCAACTCCTACGTATGTTGTGTGTGCATAAGGGTCTGTATACACACAATATAGATGCTGCTGAAGGGAAAGGGAGCATAAGGAACTGCAAGCTACTATAAACTCTATGCTTCATGAGACCAGGACTTTATGACCTATCTAAACCTGTAATCAGATGTTAAATGAATACTTGTGTTTAAAACAGGATGCAGCACTCTTCAGGAGTAGTGATGTGCATGAACTGCAGAACATGAGTGAGCTTTCCCTAACCTACCCCTGCTCTGCTATTGGTGGTGTGCTGTCCTCCCCAGCCTAAGGGGACAGCTGTATCCTCACCATGGCTACAGAGCCAGGACCAGCCAGTTGCACCCTAACAGAGATCCAGTGAACACTCCTGTAAATTCTGTGCAATTTTGCCAAACGCTCAGTTCCGCCACTTCCTCTTGGAAAACTGCCCTCGCAGCAGCCTGGGAATGGTGCCCACATTCTTGTGTTGCTCATTCAATCCAGCACCTGACATTGAGATTTGATATCAAAAGGGAAGTGCCACTTCCAGTTCTTTTTATGGCATAGGTACCATCAAAAGACAAGATACTGTTGGAATATCTTTTTTACTACAATATACAAGAAGAAATGGGGTTCTGTGGCCTCAGGCATTTGGCCCAAAGGCCTTGGCTGCCTTTCAGCCATCTTGGCAGAAAGCAGGGAACTGAAAGGACTATGGAGATTGATTTAACCTCTGGCTTTTAGAGGGCTGCTGCAGATCAGGTTTGGAGCAGCTTTGCTCTTACCTGCTCTGAATTATAAGGATCTACTGGGTGCTGTGAATATGACATCTTATATCAGGACTCCATTCACTTGATTTCTTTTTTGTCCACTGGTTTCCAAGCCTAGGCTGGCAGCCACGCCATGCATGCAAACATCTGCATATGTATTTCCTCCTCTAGTCTCTTGTGAAGTCATATGAAGTAGCTATAGATGGCACTCTGGTATCAGCTATTATTTGTGCTCAGCACTCTTCACGCTGAAGCTATACGACGCTGATCTGGGGGAACAGATTTAATTTTGGCCAGCTTCTGAAAGATCCATTTACCTACAGCTTCTGAAGTGAAGTCAATGTCACATGGACCATGCCTTAAGGCTGGGAAGCAGAGAAATGGATAAAAATGATAGCACAGGCAAACAAAAACTAATGGAGGAGGGAAAGGAAAAACACCATTTAAAGTCTATATCTAATTGCACAGAGGGTTTTTTTCCACCCATGAGGATTCTGTGATCCCCA